GGTGCTGTGAGCTGGCTGTGCACGTGGTGGAGACAGGTTGCTGGTGCCGGTGCTGGTGCTGGGTGCCGGGTGCCGGTGGCTGGTGCTGGTGCTGTGAGCTGGCTGTGCACTTGGTCGGTGCTGGGTGCCGGCTGTGCACGTGGTGGAGACAGGGTGCCGGGTGCTGGTGCTGGGTGCTGGGTACCGGTGCTGGGTGCTGGTGCTGGGTGCCGTGAGCTGGCGTGCCGGTGCTCGGTACTGGTGCCCGCTTCTGACAGTGAAGTGAAAACAACCGCCGCTTCTGACAGTGAAGGGTGACAACCTGCCGCTTGTAGCAGTGAAGGGCGACCAACAGCCGAAGTGCCAGCAGTCATGGGCCGCATGAACTTATGCACGCAACATCATACGGTGTGTCGCTTGAGGGTTCTTCGTATATTGGCGCTGTGGGGTATTTACACTCTTCAGGTTCTGTTTTGGCCGACAGCTGTGTCAACCGCTGTACTGTTGGCGCGCGACGTATAATATTCTATGCGCAACGTCAGGCTCTCAACCGACCATTGTTTCAGCGTGCTTCAGCCTGCTACACACACAATAGTCGTGCTGGATACTGCTTGGCCTTGGGCGAGTGAAGCCTACGGGCTTTGCCGTTTGTGCGCGTACTTTGTGCGCATAAACTTATAGTGGCGCTGGATACTGCTTGGCCTTGGGCCAATGACACTTACGGGCTTTGTTGTTTGTGTGCATACTTTTTGTGCGCATAAACGTAGCGCATACTGTAAACGTATGCGCGCAAGCTAAGATCATACGTTGTTATTCCCCAAATAGGGATAGCTATGGGGTTCTTACTGCAAATAAGAATGAGCCGCGCGCGCTTTCGAAAGGGTGTCGGCGCTGGGCGGCGGCGCTGGTCGGGTGCTGGTGCCGCTGCCGGTGTTGTCAGCTGGCAAAGCGCACCGGTGCTGGTGTCAGCTGGTTGTGCGCGCTGTGGAGGCGCCGTAAGCTGGCTGTGCAGGCTGCGTACATTCTTGTTCCAGCCAGTCGCATGTCAACAGGTCGTGGGATTCTGCCTAGCTATCTGGGTCTATGCTGGTGTAATTTTTGGTGAGAAAAAACATGGTTTCCTGTGGAAAACTTGAGAAACCTTCAGCCTGGACTCGACTGGGGCCATCCCTCCTGGCAGCGAATTTGAGCTTCGACATCAGGCGACCACTGCTGCCAGCGTCCTGTGCTGCAGCTGTGGGGTGCTGATGGTTCCAAACCAGTCGCGGCCTGAGATCACAATCAGAATCACATAGAGTTGGATGTCTTTTTGGGACGAACAGGCTGAATCGCAGGTGGGGTCAGTGAAATGTCAGGGATTTCTCGTGTGTTCGGACGCTTCAGGAGCATGCGATGTGCGCAATGCCTGAAGACGGAGGCTTGTTATTCAGCGCGCGCGGAGACGTTTTAGGGGTTTTGAAGGCAGGTTCCTATTCTTTAGCAGCGCGTGTTTTTAATTAATGCAAAGACCGGATTAATAACCCCCCCCCCACATGGTAGGTCAACAAGGTCAAGAAGGTATGAGATTCCATTCATGAGGTCCCCTCCCCCTGAATTATCGGACCAGGGAGCCATCGTAGTCGCAGTCGTCGTCGGTAGTAGGCAGTAGGCAGTAGGTAGGTAGTAGGTAGTAGGTAGTAGGTAGTAGGTAGTAGTAGGTAGTAGTAGGTAGTAGCAGGTAGTAGTAGGTAGTAAGTAGTAGGTAGTAGGTAGTAGTAGGTAGTAGTAGGTAGTAGTAGGTAGTAGGTAGTAGGTAGTAGTAGGTAGTAGGTAATAGTAGGTAGTAGGTAGTAGTAGGTAGTAGGTAGGTAGTAGGTAGGTAGTAGGTAGTAGGTAGTAGTAGGTAGTAGGTAGTAGGTAGTAGTAGGTAGTAGGTAGTGGGTAGTAGGTAGTAGTAGGTAGTAGGTAGTAGGTAGTAGGTAGTAGGTAGTAGTAGTCACAACGAGTTTAAACAAGCGCAAAGAAAAGACCAGGGACACAGGATCAAATCAATAGGGGGTAGTAGTGCAGATTATTGATGGGGGACCGGCCCTTGTAAGAGGTACCCTTTGTGAGCTTGTCAAATGATTGTTTTTTTTATTGTTTCTTAACAAGGCAGTTTATAGGCCCTGAGCCCTAGACATTTTAAAGGATTGCATCAAACATGCAGTAGGTAGTAGGTGGTGATGGTGGTGGTGGTGGTGGTCGTGGTAGTAGCACGTAGCAGTAGCAGTAGCAGTAGCAGAGCAGCTGCAGGAGCAGCAGCAGCAGCAGCAGCAGCAATAGCTAGTAGCAGTAGCAGTAGCAGTAGCAGGAGCAGCAGCAGCAGCGGCAGCAGGAGGAGGAGTAGTAGTAGTAGCAGTAGCAGTAGCAGTAGCAGTAGGAGTAGTAGTAGTAGTAGTAGTAGTAGTAGTGGTAGTAGTAGTAGTAGTAGTTGTAGTAGTAGTAGTAGGGGTAGTCGTAGTAGTAGTAGTAGTAGTAGTAGTAGTAGTAGCAGTAGCAGTAGCAGTAGCAGTAGCGGTAGCAGTAGCAGTAGCAGCAGCAGCAGCAGTAGCAGCAGCAGTAGTAGTAGTAGTAGTAGTAATACGAACAATTTACCTGGTTGTGGGCTCGGATTAACTGGGGGGGATTGTTGGTAGAAAACTAGACCATAGGGGGGGAAATCAACAGCCAATAATACTTTTAATTTGGGCAATTTCCGGCGGCTTTGTGGGCTCGGGTTAACTAGGGGAGATTTATTAATCCTGACTTTACATTAGTTCTTTCGAGACTCTTCTTCCAGCATTTTTTAGTTTTTAGTTACTTATATACCCCCGTGTACCCTGAACCCTGGGTTAGCAGGGCGAATTGGGAGGGGATTCTAGGTTTACTTTGTTTTAAAAAACAATACATACAAAGATGCATACATACACGTCAAGATAGAAAGGAACATTTGTATTACTGCATGCAGTCTTGCCTAGAAAACAACGTATCGCGTGCCGTAGCCGTGACTGATAAAAGTGATTGTTAGTGACCTGTACTTTGCTGGTGCTTTAGCTGCTGACCATATCGGTCAAAACAGGGGGACCCTGGTTGCCGGCTCCAGGTTTGACCCTTGGCCCATAGCCATGTATAGTTATCAGTGGTACTGGTGCATGCCACCCGACTCTTTCATACTCTTTCCACGGTCTTAGATGGAGGTGTCCCTGACCGCGATGGACGAAGACCGCAATGGACACGAAGGCCTCTCACCCCCCCCATCTAGGTGTGCATCACGGATGGCATTTCGCGTCAAGTGGCCTGGAACTCGGAGTGGCCGAGTGGCTCCTCAGAAGCTAGCTAGGAGCTCGGCCTGGGCATGCCGAATGGATAGGATCGAATTCAAGATTCGAATTGGAACGGAGTAAGATTTTTGTTGAAGATGTGATGATATGATGGACTTACACACACACACACACCATCTTGTTCGCTCTCATTGGGACGCGGGAGGTCTTGCAGCGGTGTCGCAACTGCAACCGGTGCCCCGTTCTACTGGGAGAGTCGTGTCTAGACGTCCCAGATTTTTGTTCTTTCGACTGTGTAGGTTTGGATATTGAAGAACCGTTCCTGCTTCGGCTCGAGCTGATCAGTGGTTCATCACAGAGGTGACTCAGAAACCGAGGGACAACTTGCAAGCCAGGCCACAACGTGTGTTGGGAGCCTAGGGACCCCTTGGCCAGAATTGGTTACCCGCCTAGGTCAAAGTCGCTCAAAGTGACCAGGGGGGTCTGGCTCGAAGGTCCTTTAAAGTAAGACACACCCAAATCATGAAACATCCAGGGAAGAGCAGAACATCGCGTGACTGCTATGGCTGAGACTGTGACTGCTATGAGAGAAGAGGAGGCGAAAACGCAGACACACCAAAAGGGGGTCTTTCATTTGAACCAAGGTGGTTAGTGAATGGCAGATCTTCCAAAAAGCAAAGGAAGAAAGGAAGGAAACGGGAAAAAGGTCTGATCTGCAGAAACGAAAGGTCTAAAAGGTCCAAGGGAAGACATACCGGAAAACATCAGAGAAGATGCAGACATGGATGAAGACCAGCGGCACATATGAAGACATCCATGCACCCTTCCGGGGCGCCAGGATGGCAGCGCCGACCATGCCGATGGGGCTCAACCTGAGCGGGTCAAGAGACCGCGGGTGGAGGACAAATGGGTCGATGGACTCCTCCAGTGCGCCGAGCAGGCAGTTCACTGGCGGTTCACGCGCGTGTGGTGGAAGCAGCCAGTGTGGGATGACAGATGCTATTTTCTTGGGCTTTGAGGTACTTGTGGAGGGACCGATTGACGCTGGTCTCCGACCCTCGTGGTGTCTTGGCGCCCCAGCTGTGGGTCCAGTTCCGTGTCCCAGCTCCGAAGGCCTGGGAAACTGGTCCAAGGCACGGGGCACTGGAACTGGAATGTGGGCAGCAGGAGAGGTGGGCAGCTATGGCTGAAACAGGAGAGGTGGGCCTCAGCCTTGGCCGATCTTGAGCAGGTCCTATCAGACTATTTCGCGGACCATGAGGAGCTTTGCAGGCGAGGCTGACTCTAGGGGGTCAGAGTCAAAGGATTTGGCTTGAAGATTAGAACAGCATGAAGCAGGCAAGTGAAGGAGTCCTGCCTAGGGGAGCCACGTGTTTGGAGCTGGGTGCCGGCATTGGCGTCCTTTCCTCAGGAGGGTCGCCTCTGTGCCAGAACCATCCCTGTCGTTTCGGAGTTTAGGCCTTTTGCCGAACGGTCGACACCTGAATTGGTCGATCACGTGTCGGTCGGTCCAAGCGTTTTCACCGTTTTTTGGCACCTTTGGCAGCTCTTCGGCCGAGGGCTTTCTGTTTTTCCCGATTTCTCGGACCTTTGACCTGGCGTTTTCCTCCCGTTCTTTCCATCGAAATCGCCCTATTTGTTTTGTCCTGAGGTCGTGGGCCTGACCGTCGCACATTTGGGTGCCAAGTCGGCTGGGCACGGTTTTGGCTGTCACAGGTGATGTGAGTTCACGTACTTACCGGAGTCTGAAGGCCAACGTAACCCCGGCCTGCCCGCAAATAGATAGAGAATGACAGAACATGATAGAACAGTTTTTTGAAAGACGAACCCCCTTGAAATCTTGAGTGGAAGTCGTTTCTTGTGTCCGTGCCCCCCCCCAGCAAGTTGTTGCACTCCGGCTGCTGCTGCTGCTGCTGCTGCTGCCGCTGCCGCCTTCAACTTTTGGTGCTGCTTCTCCTCCTGACCACACTCTTCAGGTGCTGGTCACGGTCTCTAGCCAACGGAATCCTTTTGGATGTGGAACATCCACACGAGGATCAAATGACCCACCAAAAAAACGAGCCGTGGGGTCTCGTTCACGGGACTCGTTCACGAGACTCGTTCACGAAACTCCGCACCTTTCAATCTGTTCCTGTTTGTTGGACCTTCGGTTGGGTCCCGGCTTTTGATCCAGATTTCCCAATGCCACTGGTCGAGGGGTCGCAGGCTTGCGAGTGCGCACTCGCTGCGCGTTCGGGCGCCAGGGTGGTGGTCTTGACAGACGTGGCGAGACAGCGACTGGGCAGGAAGATGGGTCATCATGGTGACCGGTGTGGGTGCAAGCTGAGGATCCCTCTCTTGGAGAAGAATGCAGCGGCAAACGAATTTGATGGTCAGGTTGGCAGCATCAGAGTGCAAGGTGAAGCATGTTTACGAAGTGACTCTGATATCTGCAGCTGCTGCAGGTGCTGGTCAAAGAGCTCGATTGGACCAAAGAAGAGCAGAGGCGGGAACGTTCTTTTTGACTTCGTTAGTGGACCGCTGTGGGTCGTTTGGTGTCCCGTCTCGCCAGATGTGGCCTCCAATGGAAAGGATGCTGGACGGGCGGTTGCTCGTTTGCGTTCTTCTAGTTTGTCATGACATCGTCCTCGCTGGAGGAGCTTGATCGTTGGTTCAGATATTGGCTACGACCCAAGCCTCTTTGAGCCACTCTGTGAGACGCTGCGAGAACAATGTCATGCCCTCGGTGCAGAAGTGGCTGTTTCCATGTTCAGAAGTGGCCACCAATCCAAGTGTAGCAGAGGACGCATTTGTCTGATGCTGACGCTGGTTGAAAAAAAACGAGGTTCTTTGGCACTGATTTTCGCAAGAGAACACAGAAAAGACATGAAAAGACCGCCTCAACAAACTGGAAGACATCCTCTCCGTTGAGGGCCTTCGATTCTTTGATCAACTGGTCCACTCGATGTCAAACTGGTCCACCAGGTGGCGACTCGACCAGGGTCCTCCTGGCGTTGGCCGACAGAGAGGAGGAGCCATGTTTGCAAGGGAGGGGCGTTTTTTTCGTTTTTTTTTCATGTTTTTTTGGTAAGTTTTTTCGGATTCTGCTTTTGCTGCGTTTCTGCTTCTGCTGCTTTTTTGCTTTTGTTGCTTTTCTGCTTTTGCTTTTCTGCTTCTGCTGCTTTTGTGTTGCTTTTCTGCTTTTGCTGCTTTTCTGCTTCTGCTGCTTTTCTGCTTTTTGTGTTTTTGTCTTTCTGCTCTTTGCTTTTGTTGCTTTTCTGCTTTGGCAGCTGTTCTCCTTTCTCTTTTTCTGTTTTTGCTTTTCCATCTGTTTGCTTTCTAACTTTTGGATCTGGTGTGCTGCTGGGGGGGGGCGCTGCGCCCCCCCCCCCCCCCCGCGCCACGAAATCTGCACTTCATCTCCGATACCCGCGCCTGCCACGAAATCAATATTTTAAGGTGAACTCCCCGGGGCATAAACTTCTAACCAATCATATATGCCTCCTGTGCTGGTTCTTTTTCTCTTTACTGTTTCTTTGCTAACGTAGGACTTTCTCTGACACCTACACTATTCCAATGTATTTTGCCAGCTACGACAGCTCCCAAATTAGTCTAATCAGCTAGCAATTAATATGAAGCCTGCACTATTCCAATGTATTTGGCCAGCTACGACACCTATGTCTCGGCTAAGGACACGAAATTGCTGTAATTAGCTAGGTACTAATAAGAAACCTGCTCTATTCCAATGTTTTGGAAACATATTCCCGAAAAAAATGAAAACATCCCAAATAAAACGTGCACCCGTTTGCAAGATCCAGTCTTTTGATCGTCATGCACATTGCGCATCAACAAAAAGACAAGAACAATAAGAATATTGACGAGGGTGTGATGGTGGTCACTTCACGGACTTCGGATCCCTCGACTGCGACGTGGGACTTCGGAGTTCGACTGTGGCGGGTTGGGGTCGTTTCTCGGACACGGGCAGACAGTGACATGAATCCAGGAGGGAGAACCGAATGTGCAAGACTTTCTGGAGGCAGTCGACCACTCAGCCCGTTTGAAACGTGGCACAGATGCTCAACAGGATGCGTAATTTGTTGTCCCCAAGGCATCGCCATATTTTGATGCGAGCGTGGCTTGCTTGAATCGCGCTTGGCAACTCGATTGGACTCGTGGGCTTTGACTCGAAGTAGGATGCCAGGCATCCTAGATTGGACATGTCTTTCGGGTGTTTTTTTTGAGGGGAATCAGCGGCTTGCTCACCAGTATGACACGGAAGTCGGAGATGAAGAACCTGCTACGACCAACAAGTGTACACATGCACGGAGTGCATCTCATGACTCGATCCCAAGTCATAAAGACCATCGCTGAAAGCACGTTACACGCACACTTATTGACAGACAGACAGACACACACACACACACACAGAGCGTAGAACTTTCCTCCAGCACCGCCCATTTGATGGGACGGCACCGGGGCGGCACCGGGGCGGCACCGTTTGGGGACGTTCACCATAGGCTCAGTCCCCCAACTTGAATAGTGGAGTCACCCGACTCCTTTGGAGCAGGCTGAAAGTGCAAGATGAGTCCTTTGGAATTGACTGAACCTTAAACAAGGGAATCGGTACTCACAAGACGGAAACCAGTGAACAATCCTTTTTCAGGGTTGCCTTACTCATTGGTTTGACTTCATGACTTTGAGTCCTTTAAGAGGGAGAACTGCATGCCCTTCGGCCCGGTCTTTGGCAACTGTTTCTTCCCTCGTGGAGACCTTGACGTGGATCTCGCGGCTCGAGCCACGCCTTTTCGCTTGAGCATCTCAGACTCTGCTGTTTCGACCGAAGAGGTGTTGCTGGAGAGACGCGCAGAGCCTCACCAAAGCCTCACGAAGGCTGGAACAGCAATGACTTTAGACTGGCATCCGATTGGAGGAAGAACATGTTTTGGGGAGGGGGAGTTGCCCCCCCTGGTTGGTACATCTCCCCTGACCATCCCCTGGTCGTTCCCTTGCATGCCAGAGATTCTGTCCATCACTCCAGTGGAAAAGGCCTAGAAAGATATATAACGTCTTTTGGCCGACCTCGTTGTCTTCCACTCTGCATAGCCACACCTCCTTGCTTCGGCCAGATTCTCCTCCTGAGGCAGAGGCCGGGGGGGAACCCGCAGTGATGGGGGCATGGAAGATGGGCGGCATGGCTCTGTCGAGAGAGAGAGAGAGGGCGCTGTCTCCCGCTCTGTCGGCTCACCGGTCGTGCAAAAGGTTGGTCTCACCGGTCGCTCGTGCCACCGGGGTGGTCGTGACGGGTTCACCAGCTGTTTTGCGAGGCGTAAGTGAGGCAGGGGCGACCCGAGAAGAGCTCTGAAACGACGGCCGAGGAGGGGGAGGCTGCTGAGTGGAGGGAAGGCAGGGGCGCCTGCGACGGTTTGCGAGTTGTGTCCATTTGTAAGGTGCGTGTGGGTGTGGGTTAAGAAGCATAGCCTCCAAACCAGAAGCCTTTGATTTCACTCAGTCCAGCGTAAAAACTGGCCGCCATACTCGTCCCATCACCTGCCTCAGCTTCAGGCGTTGCTCCGGGAAGCTTCTGGCACTGCGGATCCCGCGCTTCTCGTGTCAAGACGCTGTGCTGCGCTAAGAGGGTGTGCTGCGCGCCTCGAGTTGAACAAACGCAGAGAGCGCTGTTCTAAGCTGCCAAGAGAGCGAACACCCGTCCACTGTAGCACTTGAATGAAATTGGCATGGCTGCCCAGGCAGATGAGAAGCGCTTGGAGTAGTTTTTGGCATCGAGCAATGGATGTTCTCGGCACCAGTTTGGAGAATGAGGTGAGTTGTCAAGGCATCAGTATAAGCACCTGAGAGGAACTCCACAGATGCTAGTAGAAACAAGTGCATCGCTACTAGTAACAAGTGCCTTACTAGTAGTAACAAGCAGCTAGAAACAAGAAGCAGCACCTGAGAGGAACTCCACAGATGACTCATTCTTTCCACCTACCAACGGCGGCATGGGTGACTGGCCCTAGCCTCGAACCCGGCCAGCTGCAAGCCACGCATCGACAAAGGGCCTTTCTGGGCCACGGCCTTTCAGTGCTTCTGGTCTTCGAAATGACCTGCAGTCAAAGACCAGCAGTCAAAAGGGAACCAATGCCAATGTGCCAATATGATTGTTACATATTGTTACATTCTGGAACCTTGCGCGTTGCTTTTTTGGCATGGGGTCCAGATCTTGCTAATGCTTTGCATCAGATTCCTTCACCTGACATAAAGCTGCTGCCTAGACGTGCTAGATGCGCAAGCTTCTGCCAGCTGGCTGGGCTCAAACGGTGCAAGAGCTGCGACAAATTTGTATGCTATGGAAGCGAAGAAGGGTCGACGAGGACATAGGCACCCTGTAGATCTCTTTTTGAGTCGCAACGACAATTCTGCGCTCCGAAAAGCCTGGGGATGAGCCAATTTCTAAGCAGGTGCACCAAAGTTGGCAGATTTCTAGCATATTGCCACGGAGGAAACTTTTAACACTCGGCCCCTCAAGGCTTTTGGGTTTCAAAAAGGGGCGTGTGACATGTGCAGTTTTCTAGTCATTGATTTTTGGGACGCGGAATCATTCGGAATCATCCCATCGCGAACGAATGACGCAGGGTGCTTGGCTTCTTAGCGATCGCAGCGATTGTGATTCGTTCTGCAGCCCCGCCTGTGCAGAGCCCAGAAAACCTGTACACTTACCGGTGTGTTGGTGGTAGCCTACTCTTGAGCTAACCGGCAACAGCCTGGAGGGTTGATGCGGCTATGTCTTTGCCTCTCGAGGCCCAGTGAGCCGCTAGTGGTGCGACGGGAGTTGCAGGGCCTGCTGAAAATAGCTTTGCAAGTGGAGAAGGCACGCTTCGATGTCTTGCATGGTGTCCCACCCTTGAATTTTGGATGTATTTGGTAGAAAGAGAACCCTGTTTGCATGATGTGTGGAGTAGCCTCCCCGATGGTTTGTTGGTTCTGAGACAAAAACGACTTGATCGAGAATTGTGACGTTTTGTTCTGCAATGTTTTCTTCGAGGCGCTCGGGCGCTGGAGGAGCTCGTCGGCAGCGCCAAGCCGAAGAAGTTCAGGTCACATCGCGCGCTTGGTCGCCAAGACACGGACAGCAATCTACCACCGGTCCTTAAGTAGAGGACAAATATGGAGACATCCAAGAGGACTGGCACATGTTCCTCCAGCTTAGTGTGCTCGAATTAGGAGGTTTCTGTCTCCATTTTTTTGGGGGGGTCGACCTGTGCCACGGCAACGTGCAGCTTGGACATCTCCACGAAGTGGGCCAGCAACTTCGCCAAGCGAAGCGGCGGTGCCAAGACAGCAGCAGGCGAGACCTTTGTGAATGTCCACGGAGTGACCTTTCACGTTCGTGCATAGTATATAGTTTAGTAATTCTACATGTATGTTATGTACCATGATATACCCGCTCTTTCCGGGTTTATGACCATTTTCGGATGTCGGAAGATGCTTGACAGGAGATGTACATGTCACGAAAGCGAGCGTACCATGTGGCGTGCACTTTAGTTGCTTGGAGTGCTGTGCAGGAAACACTTGGTGAGGAACGTTGTTTAGTCAAGGTGTTTAGGATGTATTTCAATCTATTGACCTGTTCTTCTTGGAGGTGCTATGCTTGTTGGAGGTCTAATGACGATGGTGGTATTTCGGGATGCGTTGCATGCTCAGATTATGCTGTGGAGTACTCTATTTTTCAGAGCAGAGTAGTTTGAACGAAGGGACATCGGTTCCTTGACCAAGCGAAAGGGGAGAAACACGGTCTGACAAGACCGCTGTGATTGTGAATATGTGGATTGGCTTGATTCTTGTTATTTGTTTTGGTGGATAGCCATTGTTAGCAATGCATCAAGCCCTATGTTCTTTGATGGATCTGTACTCTTGAGTGACATCTGAGTCCACACGTGCCTGCCACATGCGTTGGCAGTGCTTTAGCTGCCTACGCCGTCCAACTCCCGTGCCATTCTCAGGGTGAAGTGGCGTAGGTGCCATGTGGAGCGACCCTGCATTTGTTGTAGGTTCCCCTCAGACAAAAGTCACGTGTTTTTCTTGGAAAGACCCTCTCAGAAGGCTCGTGCTCAGTCAGAAGGCTTAGGCCTCAGGCTTAGTCAGACTTTTCACCCTTTTTGGCAGGAGAGGCAGCCGTTTGGGAGATTCCACCCGAGAAATTGGGCGGCAGGCCGGGCCAGTTGCCACGCTCACATGCCGCATGCCATTGGCGATTTTTTGGAGCCTCCGAATGAAGCAACAAATCAGTGCAGCTGGCCGGCAAACGAACGGTCCTTCGGAAAGGGGGGGTCACTTTGATGCCAAGGAGGTGACTTAGCAGTACACAGTCTGTGTCGTTCCGTAAAGAAAACACACGCAATCGTCAGAGTGGTTTGGAAAGAGTTTGTGGAGGATGCCCTTCTTGTCAGTTTGTGTTTGCTGTGCTTTGTTCGACACTTGCTCCATTGGCCACCTTGCAGGTTTCCTGGTTCTGGGATGCTTTCACTGCTTCTGGGAAAGGCTTGAATTGGAACTGACAGAAGATCTTCAAACGCGGCAACACGGGGGAACTGCTGGCAGGGCGAAGACGCCGGTAGGTTGCCAGCTAGCTGTGCTCGGCGCGGCTCTAAGCGATGGTGCCCCTCGGTGCCCTTTTTTTTGCGCTGAAGAAAGCTGCACCTGTTATTACTTTTGCCGTGTGACGACGTGTGTGACAGACAAAAAACAACAACGCATTGTATGATATTGTATGCCCCATCCAGCAGATCCAGAGCACAGTTGTCGCTTTCACACCCTTTGGAAACGATGTGATTTTGCTGCAGCTGCGCAGCTACTGGTGTGCAGCCACCACTGGCGGTTGCTGCCATTTTCTTTGTCCCACCCGCTGAAATCGTGTGTTGTCGTGGCCGCTCTGGTCCTTTCAAGACTGGCGCGTCTTGCGTGGTACAACTCTCAAGCCTTGCAGGGAGAGCTTCAACAAAGGTGGTCAAAAACACCGCCGTGGAACGCGGGCGAACGCCTGAGGTGTTTGGTGCAGTTAGGCTTCAGCTGCTTCGTGATTCTTCGGCCTGGGTCTGAGATTTTCGAGCGGTGCTGGCCATCACTGACGGATCCAAAGGGGTCTCCAGACGACGCCACGCTGAGGCCGGTGGGAACCGATGCTTCCCGGTGCCGAAGCTGAGTTGGCAGGTCTGAGCCACGCTGTGCTCACTCCATGATAATGCTCGTGCTCACGTTGCCGTCTACGTGAGAAGCAGAAAAAGAGCTGAGCGATTGGGCCTCCGGGCCGTGGACGAAAACCCGAGGGCAGGAGCACATGTGTGGAACCACTGAGGGTGGTTGCGAAGCCCAAGCCAACTTTCTTGCAGGTACAACAAGCCCCCATGGACCAGCTGCGAGCCAGAGTCTGGCTGCCCATTTATGACTCTGAGGGCAGGAAAGGCAATTCTTTTTTGTGTGTGCTTGTTCCTCTGTCTTCTGGAGGTCAAGGGAATTGCTTGGAATTTGCTTGAAGAAGATCAAAGGTTGGGCTTTCCTGGCGCGCCCACGAACGACAGGTTTCTTTCATTGAAATTGCTTCATGAAGGATTTGTTTGAAGTCACTCGTACGGATCTATAGTCATTCGAGAAACGCACTATAGTCTTGATGTCGATTGTCTCATGCAGGTCTTGGCAAGGAAGTCAGGCGGGGTTTCGCACACCAGAAGCAACAGCAACAATGATAAAGACAGCTCGAGCTTGTTCAACTTCCATGAACATATGAACCAAGATACTGTATGTATGTCCCAGTGAATCATATAGCTTTTGAAAGACCCCTGTACTGTTTTTAGTAGGAATCAACAGATGGAACTGCCTCCAGGCTGGTCGATGCAGCTTTTATTTGGACCGAGGACCGTGGCCGGCGAGGCTTTGGTCCGGAGCGCGGGTCCCGCGCGGACGGCGCTCGCAGGAGAACTCCAAGAGACTTCGGGTGAAGATCACTGTCCAGAAGGAGGCGCCAGGGCCGCCAGGGGTCAGAGTGGAGCATTTTCCGGGGATAGAACATCAAAGGGCCGAAGGCAACCTGAAAAGTGTCCAGGTTTGTTTTGTACCTTTCCATTCTTCAGCTTTGCTCTGAGGGGTTCTCAATTCTTGCATAGAGGCATAGAAATATGATCCTGGGCCAAGATGCTTTGCCTCCCCTTGTCTCCAATGGCTCTTCTGGGTCTGATTGTCTGGCTTTGTCTCTGGGCTCGTCAATTCTTCCATAGAAACGATCCGAGGCCAAGATGATCTCTGGCCTTTCGTCTCCTTTTGTCTAGATGATTCTGCATTGTCTCGCCGTGTCGCTCTTTGCCTTGCTTTGTCTTCCATGGCTCTTCTGGATGCTTGGCTCAAACGAAACTGCTTTGTCACCCTTTCCTCCATGGCTCTTATGGATGCTGGGCTGAGATGATTCTGCTTTGTCTCCCTCTTCTTCTTCTTCTTGGATGTTCAAACCAAATCGTTATTCTTTTTTAGCATTTAAACAATGACCCAGCTTGACTTGTATGCTTTTGGCTCGCTGGGCTGGGGCAAGCACTGCAAGCTTGGCTCTTTTGCATTCTTTTGCCACATCAAGTTGCCGCCGCTGGTGGGATCGTCGGGTCGATGCTGGTGTACTTGGTTTGTGCCCCCCAGAACCGGGTCCTGGGTGGCTGTTTTGGACGGGCAGCTGGAAACAAAAGTGGACCTATTGATGTTGGATCTTCATGAACAAGCCCCCCCGAGCAGATTCAAGGCTAGGATGTTCAACCACATCCACTTGGGGCCTCATGGATCCTAATGGTATGTTTAGCAAGAGTCAAGATTGATGAACTACTTTCGGTTGTTGACGGCATTTTACGACTCAAACTCGAAACACCGCCGCCAGAGCATGAAAAAACCGACACGCGAAGACGTGGGACCAGAGTACCCCAAACAGTCGTCAACTGTTTCGGGTGGGTAGAAGTGGAATGTTTGCAGACGCCAAGAGGGACAGTAAAGGACAGGACCTTTTTGTTTGGCTCAACGTGGTCTGTGTCTTTCCATCCGAGTCGTGGTGAGGTTGCGCAGTCGAGCGTCCTGCAGCAGACCATGGTGGTGGAGTTTCAGATCGTGAATCAGCAGTGCGAAACGTGCCAAAAGTCGCTGGGCCTGGATCGAAGGGCCTTTGTTTTCTTCACGACTCAGGTGTCCCACACAGGTCGGAGGCAAAAGATTACTGTACCAAAACACTATGTTTGAAAGGAGTATGTAGATTATAAGCACCAGCAGATCTGGTTGATGCAAGCCCTTGAACATCCCAGATGAATGGTTCCAAAAAAATCGACATATCGCTTGGAGGAGTGCCCAGCCGAGAATTCACGGCAACACATTTTATATGGATTTATGCAAACAGACGTCCGAGTGCGCCAGACGTCCGGCGCTCGACGCCGAGGTCCTTCACTCCGCATGCCTACAATGCCATCGTGCAGGTGAGGCAGAAGGTACCCCACAGGAGGAGAGGGATGGATCGTTGCCGAAGGGATCCACGGATCTCGGTTTGTGTAGGTGGATGCCTTATAACATCCTATATATAAAGAACATTAAAGAACTATAACTGATAAAACACAACTATAGTTATTTGTAAAACCCTACATAACTATATACAGTAACGACTTGTTCTTCCATGTCTTATAACGTCTTAAGATGGAAGACATTTTGGGTGCTCATTCTCTTCCACAACGGCGCCTTTTTCTATCCACGTCCCTCGGTCTATATCCAGCCATGGGACCCCGAAATGGAGAAACAGTCGACACGGGTGCTGGTGCTGGTGCCCCTTTAAGGAGCTAAGGAGCCAGAATCATCCGTATGAAAACACGGGAGTCACATGTTCGCCCTCCGGTGTCCACCGGACCGTTGAAACCGCCCTCGATGTGTCGACGTCAACCGCAGCTCCGGGCGGCGCTGGCTGGGTGCGGGGTGCCGCCGCCAGGACCTTCTGCTACTTGGAGCAGCTCATTTTGAAGAGTGATGCTCATGCAAAGGATTGGACCTCAGTTTGCTTATCTGGTTCTTGAGAGGAAGCAACTGCAGGATCTTGAGGATGTTTTCGCACTCGCTTTGTCTGCAAACTCTGAAGACGCTGGGACATTGTGCGGTTAATCCGCATGAAGATTTGATGTTGCGGTTTGCTTATTTTTCTGATGCGAGGTCACCTCCTTGAAGGAGACCCGAGAGGGTCTGGACTTCTTCTTTGAAACGAAAAGCCATGCACAGCTGGCCGCCGAGTGGCGAGTATACATGTGTCGGACACTGGCAATCTGAACGGCATGGGAGCTACTCCAGCTCTGAGGCGCTTTGCCGATTTCGTCGAAGCGCATGCTTGTGGCCCAGAGATTTCTGCCGTTGTTGTTGGAACATACTATATGTTTGAAGGTGTGACTGAAGTATTGTTTTGGCTGTCAGGTGCCAACCAAGAGCAAGCAGTCCAGACACCTTATCTCCCATGATGCTAATAGCAAGCCAGAGCCTTTGGCAGTCGGCCATGCTGTGCCTCATAAATGAACATTCTTCTCCTAAGATCCAGTCAAGCCGGCTTTCTTTCTGTGAACACTGGATGTTGCCGAGTACCTACAACTTCAAGTACACCATCATGTGCGAGCTGTGCCCCATTTGCGTTGACGATGCTGGGACACCGAGAGCTCCTCCATCTTTCTACTGACATACGTGTGGAATCGCGTGGAGATGCAGCGTGAGGTGGTGCATGTGCCGAAAGGGCACTCGACAGCGCTCAATGGAGCGCCACCTTTGATGCTTTGCCACAAGGTGAGTCGAGTGTTGTCCATTCCCACAAATTTCAACCGTGTTTTCGAATGGGATCGATTCAGTCTGTTGGCACCTTCCGGATCTGGAGGTTTTTTCTCAAACTTCGAAGCTCTTGTTTTGACGGGTCGACGGCTTGACGGGTCCGACCGTGACGTGGAGGCTCTTTGCTCGGAACCTGTCCGCAGGTCACCAACGCGATTCGATTTGTCGATCCTGTGTCCCTTCGAAGCCGACAGCTGAGCAGCTGCTTTCACTTTTTTGGGCCGACAGTGTGCAAAGCTGGGGAATGCTGAGGTTATGACATTCCAAATCCGGATGCTTGCTCAAAGCAGAACCATGCACTTTTTGTTGAGATGTTCTTTGACTCAGTTCTCATCAGTTCTCATCCTTTGGCATTTGATGCATGTCTGTCAGACTAAGGAGTATTGGAAGAGACCGCTCCATTCTGCACGGCACTTAGCGACTCTTCATCTTCGGGGACCGTGACGGTCACGAAGTCCACGGGGCGTTGGTGTCGGCCACGGCTCCGCAGGTCTGCGGGAAGGACCATCTCACCGAGTTTGTCGTGTTGAATGTGGAGCCTCTGGAGAAGCCAGAGGTCGGAGTGGGAGTTGCTTGAGTTGCTTGGTGCACCACTTTGGGCAAATCGCAAGGTAAGTGACTGGCAAATTTAAAGGCTTACGCCTAACAGCCGGGCGCCGGCCCACTCGGGTATGTGTAGGGGTGGGTCCTGTCTCTCTCTGTCTCTCCCTCTCCTCTCTCTCTCTGTCTCTGTCTCTGTCCCTGTCTCCGTCTCGGTCTCTGTCTCTGTCTCTGTCTTCTCTGTCTCCGCCTTCTCTGTCTCTGTCTTCTCTGTCTCCCGGGCAGGGCACGGGCGCGTGGCACACTAGGGTCTGTGGTGTAGGGGTAGGTACTGTCTCTCTCTCTCTCTCTCTCCCGCTCGTCTCTCTCTCTCTCTCTCTCTGTCTCTGTCTTCGTCTCCGTCTCGGTCTCTGTCGGTCTCTGTCTCTGTCTCTGTCTCTGTCTCTCTCTCTCTCTCTGTCTCTGTCTCTGTCTCTGTCTTCTCTGTCTCTGTCTCTGTCTTCTCTGGGAAGAAGGTGGGAAACAGCTCAGTCGGTAGGGGGCCGACGGAGACCAACCCTCCATGTGGAAGACGGGGGCCGGGGTTTGGGGCACCCCGGCAGCACCCGTCCCAGCGACGGGGGCTGACTGCCCTGGCTGCATCGAGCAGCCAAAAGTCGGGAGAGCCGTCAGAAGGAGAGGAGGCACGCGGGGGCCGAGGCATCGACGCACGCCCCGGGTGTGCGACAGGAAGGGTTGCAAATTTCATTTTTTAGTTGTTGCCCACATGTCGCAGCAGCAGCCGCTTCGAAATCGATTTGGATGCGTTGTACTAGAGGAGGGACCTAGACGATAGACTAACGAACGGGATCGGACATGGCTTTTTCTATCTTCCTATCTATTTCTATCTATCTATCTATTTCTATCTATCTATTTCTATCTATCTATCTATCTATCTATCTCTCT